CGCGCCCTCGCCTCCTCCCGCCGCCGCGGGGAACGGGGCCGCGCAAGCGGGGCCTCCTGGGGGACCATCGCCGCCCCCGCCCCTTCGGGGCCGGGGCCAGCGCCGCGCCGCGGGGTTTGCCGCACGTCGGGGCGAGTGTCACTGATCCGTTTGTGCTGGTCGGGCGGAGAAAGGACATGGCCTTCCTGCAGGCGGTCGCACTTCGGAGGAAAGAGGGCATTAACTGCAAATAACACTGCTCTTGCTATAAATAGATAACGTCTATTCTAAAGGTATATTTATCTCTATACCCATATTTACTCGCACAGCTTATTTTATATCGTATTAGGCATCCATTAGTGACTACTTTCTCTTACACATTTAATATTTTCCATCTCTTTTGTGTCCTCTGCTTTCATGCCTCTGAGCAGGCCAGCGTAACATTTACACTTGATTTGTGGGACTTACAGCACCGCAATGAGCCGGGCACATTCCGGACAGAATTATTTTTCTTTCCAGAATCTAGTACTAATTTTCCGACTGTAACTACTTTGAAGTAGACTGAAGATGCAAAACATAGTGTTTGTTTCTAAGTCATAACCGTTCTGTTTCTCTTAGGCTTCATGTTAGTCTTAAAGTTTCCGTAGATCTGTTAATTTTAAAAAATAGTGTATTAATTGTGCTCTGAACAAATCCTTCTAAAATTATTAAGCCCCTTCACTTGCCTAGTTGGTGAAAAAATGGAAACAAAATGTATTTTAAAAGTAAGATTCCCTGAGGAAAACGTGCATTGGAGCTGCAATATCCTAAAAGCCAGTGCTCTTTGGATTTATATAAACATTTTTTTCTGATGTTGCCCTCTGGTGGAGGGTTAATGAAGTTTTACAGCAGCAAAGCACGTTTATGCAAGAAAGACCAATTATTTTAATATTGAAATTCCCATAAAGACTAATCCATGTAGAATTCAGTATTTCCTTTCAAAGTTGTAGAAGATCTACAAAGTACTAGAGTAGAAAATAAATTAAATCTATATGTAATTGAAATGTTGCTAATTAGCATCATAACACAGAGCTGATTTCTAAATCATGGTAGGTACTGAATGTGGCTTTCAGCATAGGTTTCAGTGCAGCATCTTCACTACCGGTACGCTGCCGAAAGGATTTTTCCCAGTACACGCAAAGCCGCACAGTTATATAAGCAAGTCTTCCAGTGTTTCATGGCTCCACTGTGCCATTGCAGATGCTCAGAGGAAACCTGGAGTAATAGATTCCTCTGAGGGGCAGCAGGAAGAGGAAATTGTTTAGCAGGGAGGAAATGGGACCGGATTCCATAACACAAGCATTTCAGAAAAGTACCGAGCCCTTTTCTGAGCTGAAATTTGAGACAGTAAGGTCTGCGGGGCAAGGGTGCTTGGTTTATTTGCACACTACGTACGAGGAGTTCCGGCCCGTTTTTTAGACCGCTCAGCACTGGCATGTTTTTGATCCTATGGGTACTAAGCAGCAGCAATAAGTATTCGTAAAATAATAGCATTTAATAAGTAAATGATGACTGACTTGGGAAAGATGAATAATTTATCATATCACACAAAAATGAATTTCAAGGCCAGATGACACATTCCTGGGTATAGACTCTTACTAGAGAAGAATTAGTTAGTGCTGAATCGGATAAAATATGCAAAATAGCAAACAACCCTGGTATAGTAAACTGCTATAGTGACTAGGCTGCTGCTGTAGCCATCTGAAGTAGAAATGTTATGTCTACCACGTGTTATACCCGTATCTTACTGAGTCCCATCCTGATCAAGTTCAGCTGTTTTGGTTTCACATGAGGTACTAATAAAAGAAGTAGAAAGCTAATGTCATTAGTTTTATAAAATAGGTACAGACTTGTCAGCTTTTTTAACTTTATATGTTAGTTATTTAACCTTGGTAGGATAAGCCATTTCTAGAAGAAACAACACATAGTATTAATGTATTTTATCAAAATCGTTATCAATAATTATTTCTATAATGAATACCTGTCACACACAGACTCTTCTCACAAAAGGCCTCATTCAAACTCCAGTGAAACCACTGTGAGTTCTTTCCACTGGTGTCGGTGGCAGGTGAAATAGGAAGTTATGAAGAAAATTTTAGTCCAGATATCACTGCTAAATGTTCACATATTGACCAGAAGGAAAGAGATTCAGTCAAAAGTCACCCAGTAAAAAATGCAGTTCTGAAAAAGCTCTAAGAATATCTGTGGGATGATATGGTATGATGCATGATGCTGCAGATGCCTGCAGTTTTTCACATAGAGCAGAAAGCTTACTGTTTAATGCTGAAATCTTGTAATTAAATATAATTCTCTTCACTTGATATTTTGTTTTTCTTTTGCTTGTGTGAAGGCTAAAGGATTGAGTCCTTACCTGCCCTTTTGTTTCTATAACTAGTTCCTTTTTACAAGTTTCTGACTGAGCTATTTCAACAAGTTAATTGAAAGAGCAGAAGAATTACCGATGTGGTTCTTAGTGTGGTTTTTCTTATTGCTATGTATCTAATCTCAAAATTTTCCACAGTAACCCTCAGAATAGTGTCTAAATATAGTATAATCATTTTAGAGGACTACAAAGTCAACACAGCAATATATATTTCTCTTCTCTAAGTTTTTGTCTTGCTGAAGCAAACTACACCCTAAGCTAAAATTTTCATCAGTGATACATACCAGTGATTTAAAAATATGAATTATTTCAATCCCATTTTTGACCTTATCTTTGCTACTGATACACTGCAATATGGATTTGCTCTTTCCCATGTGTCATGCATGCAGAGCTTATAAATGAATACGTATTTTATGATCCATTTTGAAAAATAATCATAAGCGTTACTATTAATTCATATGATCATACAGATAAAATCTAAGAGATTTTGTTTCCCCATCTACTCAAAGGTGACAAAATACTGCTCTTAATGATACAGTATCATCTTCAGAAATAAATTACTTGCTTAAAATCTTAGCTCTGCCATTAAATGCGTGTCTGTAATACAGAGTCATTTGGGACTGAGGATAGCATAAACACGCCTCAAAAATTATGATCTAATTCTCACTCCTATTTATGGTAGCTGTCCATTGAATCCAATGGAATTTGATGTCACCTTAAGAACAAAGCAATTTTTTACCTTCTTTGGGACTATGGAACTGCAAAATCCCAAAGCAGTGCCAAAATAATGATCTTGCTTGTCAGGCCACCAGGAAAAAGGTTGTCTGGAAGAAGCAATAGCTTTGTAAACTCTTTTTCAGTAAACTATTTATTGAAAATAAATATTCAATATTTCAAAAAATTATTGAAATAAAATCTTGTGCCAGGCCCTTGATGAAGAGGCAGAAAAGGAGGACGAAGAGATTGTTTTAAACCAGGAGCTTCCTCATTCTCCCTGACAGTTTGTGAGGGTCACTCCCTAGAACAACTTTTGTTGGGAGGCTTTTGTTTCATCCTTCAGTGTCATGAAGGCTGATTCACAGCAACAACTGGACAAGTCTCTTGAAAAATCACACAAGGGAGCAATTTGAGGATTTAGCTGTAGTGTCCATGTATTGACACATTAAAGATGTGTCTCTGCTGAATCCTGCACTCCAACCTGTAAAGATTCCCAAATCCCAGCTAAAACGACATGAAGTTGGTTTGACAATACTTTATAGATGATTTTGCCCTTTGGAGATATATCCAGCAGTGGCTAAACATATATTTTATGAAATGGCCCTGTTCTTTTTTGTGCATAAAACTCCAGACCTAGGTTGTGTGCACAATGTGGTTATGATGTCCTGTTGAGAAGTGTATAACACAATGGTGTTGAAAGGAGTAGCTGTAATGTGCCGTAATGTTAAAAGTTCACAGAATTTCTTTCTGTTTCCTCCTGATCTGTGTCACTTACATCTTGAATGATATTTTAATTTCCTGAACTGCGGGACAGATTGGTAATGTATGCTATAAAATAAACATGGCAGAAGTTGAACTGTTGGATCAGATCTTGGCTCTGTATCTCTACAACAGCACAAAGACTGTTTGTCTTTCTCGGTTCGTGGCCCAAAGAGAACACGCTTGAGCTGAAACATGATAAAGAATGCATGCATCTGGGCAGAACACACACATTCACACGGAAGGTCACTCTCAACCAGCTCGTGCTTCTTGGAAATAGAAGTCTGGAACTTTGGGCCAAGATCACAGGGACAAATAGAAGAATCTAGCAGGAAGCTGGCTTCAGGGGCAAAATAAACTATGACTGTGGATTTTGTCAAGCAAAGTTGTGTAGCTTTTCCACTACTTCAGCTAAGTGGGATATATGACAAGTTAGAGCTTGTAAATTGGGCTACTCTCTTTCAAATGCCCCCATGCGGCTGCTAGAACATTATTATGCTGCTTTGCCAATAGCCTAATAAGCACAAGAAATGATACATAATGAGGACAGAAGTTGCACACTGATTTTTCAGGGTGATTTCTAGTTTTAAGCCGAACTGGAGGTACTTTTCCCAGAAATCTCCGCACTAACATAGGTGATGAAATACTCTAATGACTTGCTACAAACCCCAGTATTTGGAAAGTTGCTATTGGTTTCTGAGAAGGTAACAACGGTCTTTTAAAAAAAAAGGAAAAAAGGCATAAAAGTATCTGAAAGCTGCATTTTTTGTATTAAGGAATATCTTGGTTTTAAGTAGGTAAATTCATAGTGTTGACTCTAA